CTTACGTTCTTCTTCCTTCGGTGAATTTCTAGAGTCCTCTTTAGATGCTGCAGCATATTCATCTATCAACATTCTCACAAAAGTGGTGGCCTAAAAAATGTCAGAATCTTATTAGATGAAATTTTAAAAACCCTAATTAGATGGCACATGCTATTGAAATGTGATACCAACCCGTGCATGAACCTCCTCAAGATCAGACAGGTCCACTTTCGCGTACAACTCTAAAAAATCTTGTATCATGGATGCCGCACGACGAGGACGACCTCGCCTTTCGTTGCTCATTGCATATTTTCTAAACAAAAGCAATCGCTAGTAAGGAAAGATGCAGACAACTTCGCTTACTTCTCAATTGTTTTTCTATCTGATTTAATGCCAGAAATAGCTCCATTCTTCTTTGGCCGTCCTCGAGGTCGACTATTGCAAAAGTCAGATTTGTGTATTGGAATAAAAATGATATTATCTCACCCTGTTCTCTGTAAAGAAGTGGGTACATATTCAGCTTGTTCTTTTTCAACCCGTTTGGGTCTGCCTCTTGTTTTTCTGAAATGAACTGTTGAATGATTTTGAAAACCTGAAAGAAGCAAACACCTTTTGTATGATTTGCGTTTCCGAACAATTGTTAGCGGCATGGGTCCCTCGTCAGCTTCCTTTTTAGCCGTTCCTGAAGATGGAAGAGCCCATAATGAAGACGAAGGGCACACCTCCTCTAAAATCCTTTGTACGGCAACGGCTTCATTGTCAGCAGTTCCCGATGATGATCGAGGTTGAACTGACGATGGAGGGCATACTTCCTCTAAAATACGTTGCACGACGGCAGCTTCCTCATCTGCTTTCTTCAAGTCCCTGAATTTCAATTCCTTCCGTGCTGGCAGAATTCCCTTCTGATTATTCCATTCAGAGGCGGAGGTGGGTTCCTCATCATCTTCAAGCCGTCCATCTGTACTACCGTAATTGAGAAGAACCATTCTGTCAAAATCAGCAGGTTCTTGTTCTGCAACATCCTCGTCCGCAAAAAGGGCGACTTCCGCATTAGGTAAAACAGTTCTCGAAGCAGCCTCCACATCGAAATGATCTTTGAGGATAGGAAGAGGAGCAGGTGTGGGGAAGGGAGGAGCAGCACGTTTCGGCAGAACTTGCGTAAGTCCATCCTATACTCGAGATAATCAGTTAATAAATTATTGATAAGAAAAGTTGAAAACTGGAAGCAAATTGTTATCGTAAACGGAAAGCAGAACAAACTACAAATATTTTTCAAAAAATCATTTTAGCAGAATGGGAGGAGTATTTGTAGAAATAAACGCATGCAAAAAGAAAACAATGAAATAAGAAAAACCTCAAATTTTTAAAATTTTTAACAGTTCAGTAAAAAGCATGAAATCAGTTAAACGACACCTCTGAAGTTACGAAAGAGAACAAAATTTAAAAATGTTACCTGAGATTCAAAGCTCTTCTGCGATACCGATGCTAGTTGCATGTCATCTGCTGTCGCCACATTTGATAGTAAAGTTGAGTCGGTCTTGTACCTTGATGAGATAATCATTTTTCCCAGAATTCATATAAATGCTATTGCTGTACCCGTAGAGTCATTTAGTAAACGATGAAAAATCTATGACAAAGAGTTGTAATACAAATTGACTTTCGAAATATAAACAAAATTTCAACATTCTCCCGAAATCAAAACGCAAGATCAAGAATAATGATTAAGTACTATCGCATGCCCATATGATTTAAAAGCGCCCTTGTATATGAACAAAAAAAA